TCAACTGTAAAATTTAGCTCAGCCTTGAAACTGTAATGTTATATTTTATTTATGTTAATAAATTCTTCGAAAAGTGGCTTAATTTTTATTATTTTCAGGGACATTTTGTGTTTTTACAACTCCATAAACTCTTGTAAACTTATTTTAAAGTCACTTTAATGAAATTGTACCGTATATAATTAAATATACCTTAATGGCTTCACTTGATCAGGCTATTATTAATATAATACAATTCCGTTTTATGTAATCGAGTAAGTTTGAATTGATGTTATGTTCCATAATTCTGTACCTTACCACGATATACTGATGTAAACAATGAAGCCATTCGAAACCCATAGGCACTTACTCGATATGATCTATAATATTATGAACGTTGACTTAATGTAATATTTGATATATAATATAATTTAATTGCTGCGAACAGTAACTTAAATAAATTAAATATTAATACTTATCAATTCACTGAATTAGTTAGAATGAAACCTTTACTCTTAATTCTATTTAAGAGTGAAGTTTTCTTTCTCCAAACTTACAGTTAGTATTTATTCCGATTTGTGATGGAAAATTGTGCAAAAATGAGTGAAAGAAACAACCCGAACAGCATAATTAAAACAGTAAATTACACAAATTATTTTTTGTAAGCACTCGATATACAGTATTATCAGAGTAGAACAATATTAAGTGATGTAGTATCGAGGAAATTGTTATTATTTCCGGTTTGGATAGTAATTAAAGCACTTTACTCGATAAATTTAGTTCTTTTGTATGGAAGACAATAGTACATCGACCTGTCACTTGTTCTTTTCCTCGTTTGAATACTTCGCCTTCAATTTCTGTGTCTCAAAAAGTAAAAATGGACCCGTAACTCTACTATTGGTTTATCATTTCATATTATTGACCGAGATACGTGTATAAGTGGACTAATGAAAACCGATAAGATAGCCAGTTTTAAAATATAATGCGGGAATATTCAGCGTCGTGTGACCATTAAAATTAAAATTATAGGAAACTGATCAATTGATAAAATGGTTCTTAAAATAAAATTACTTGCCTACAAAACTGGTAATTGTCATTTCTTAAATAAAATTACTTGCCTGCCAAATGATAATTTTTAACTTTGATTCGGCTGAAATGAAAGATTTTTATCGTTTGATTACTTTTCTACTTCTATTTTTTTGAAGCTCAATTGCCTATTCTGGTAATTTTTTACGTGCTTACTCTATTCAACTTTAAGTTAGATTGGAACAAGGATAAAAGCTGCGAATCATTTTATTCTATTTTATTTTTTTATTTTTTTTATCCTTTCCTAGATTAAGAAATTAAATTTATTTGATNTTCATTTATCATCTGATGAATCATATTCAACTGAAAACCTTCTAGAATGTGGATATTCAATAAAATATATACCAAAAATAGATGTATAGATCTCATTTTTGGTCTAAATTCGTGAATATTTTAAAATAAATAAGTTGACTATCCTATTGGTTCATTTGTTTACGTCAATGTTTAAAAATTTCAACAAACCAATCACAGTTTACAATTTGAATTTCTCTTAACCAATCATACGAAAAGATTTAAATTTTCCGTTAATTGAATTAAAGCTGTCTTTGCAATTGGCTAAAATTTTAAACCTAATTAGATGAAATTGAATTTAAAGTAATTTTAATTAAATATTGAAGAATTTAAAATGATTTTAAATTTTAAATGAACTTTATTTAATTTATATTAAGTGTATGAAATGCAATTTTTGATCTACATGTAGAGTTAATAGAGCGATGAAATATAAGTTTATCCTTATGTTTAAATTTATTAAAAAGTTATTTTTAGTACTTTTATGCTTTTACCGTTTCAACGAGACCAGGAAGTAAACACGATTAATGTTATTCAAGTAGCTTTTGTATACTGTTGATGCAAAAGTGATGGTTCTTAAGACCGTTACCTTTCTGAAACAGGAAAACTGGATTTTTTTAACGTTATTTTATTTCTTTAACTCGACTAGTTCTTACTTTTATTATTTTAAAACAGGTTTTTCTGTGTAAAAATTGTTAGAAAAAATTCTCCTCGTTGATTACTTTGTAATTTAATTTATTCGTATTTAATCACAATTTAATTTACATTTTTTTAAAAAATTTAATCTGCTAAATTTACGTTGAAAAACAATTCAAAAAATCAATTTTAACGTATTAATCCCAATTTAAAAATTAAATTAAATTTCAATTTTTTATTATTTTTCTGTAGTTTGTTTGAATTTCTTTTTAAAGAATTACTTCATTATTTTTAAAAATCGAGTTCCTGCATATGATTGGTTTAAAGATATTCAAATAATAGACTGTTATTAGTTTATTTATTTGAATTAATAAACATTTGCATAAACTAATTAACCAATTGAAATGATTGTATCTATCTCTCATCATGCTGTCAAGTTGTATATATATATATATATATATAAATGCTCTTAGCTACACAATAAGAGTAATTTAAATGTAAATTATTGTATTATCAAAGGAATAAGTCAAATGTATTTTTTTCAAAGTAATCAACACGCATTCTTATTTTGTAAATTTGAAATTACGTATTACGTTATGCGATTGGGTGATTTCAAAACCTTTCTTCACAATGAAATTTGAATTTAAATTTTGTTTAAAAAAATTTCTATAACCTAGAGAATTCGTGGGACAAAAGTAATTACTGCAACTTTATTTTATTTATATTTAACTGTATTTACATTTTAGAACCATTTGTTCAAATTTTGATATTATAAATCGAAAGATGTCATTTAAACGATTGATTGATTCTGATTTTAGTTTACGATAAAATAATTATTATAATTACAGTATTTGAAAAACTTACAGCCTTAAATATTAAAGCCCTAAAGCATGAACATGTGATCTGCCAACATGGCGTAATTATGTTACTTCGATGAAGGAAAAAGTTGATTTATGGATAAGGCGAATTACACTTTCTGAAACTATGTTTTACTAATTTATCAGCTTTCATTTCGGTGCTAATTAATCATCTAGTATCTGATGATTAATTAAAAGCCAAACATTTTAGAGAATTGAACCATTGAAGAGCCGAGAATTGTGTACCCAAAGTTTGAACAATTAAAGATTTCAAACCAAATTATTAAAAAATTCAAACGAATATTACAGTGATTTAAAAATTTGGAAGAAAAATAAATATTTTGATTAAGTTCGAAATTTGAATTTGAAATTAACCAATCAGGGTTTAGGAATTTAGAGTAATAAAAATGCTTATCCAATAAAATTTTATGTTGCTTGTTTATTTACAAATTATATATATCAAATTCCGATCATAATTTGGAGAAAAAAATAGGCATTTGAAAAAGCATGCCGAAATAAAACTTTGAATTTGAAATTATCCAATCAGGAATTAGAAATTTATAGCACTAAATACCCTTCAAATAAAATTTAATGTCGCTTGTTTATTTACAAATTATATGCCCAACTTTAATCGCAATTTATGTGACGTATCATAATTTATTTCAAACACGCTAAAGCACGAGTTATGCAATTAAGAGAAAAATCTTATTCTGTTTATAGCGTACTGTAAATATAAACTTAAGTAGAATTTAAAATATTTATTTATAAAATCATTTAGCCTCGTAATTATGCATAATTAGTTTGTTATACATAGTTTATGCTACACCGTTCCTTTATTAGATTTACTCGTGATGACGTCATGTGGTTCACAACACAGAACAGTACAATGACATTAGAAATTTGAATGGAGCGTGAAGGATGGCATGTTTAGCATATTTACTATTCGTACAACTAATAAATACTCTTTTATCATGTTGTTATGTAAAATATTTACTTGAAAATTCGCATATAATTGTTTAGTAAGAAAAAAAAACCATCTGAAATCAATGCAGGTGCTCATTCTTCAACCCGGAAGATCTCGAGATCATCTCGTTTCTTCTCACGTTTACCAATCGATGACGTAGGAAAGAAAATTCCACTGTTTTATGAATTAAACGGACTATTTAATTTACTACTGATGCTTTAACATTATTGATAAATTAATGACGTACAATTATTATTCATTATTAAAGTTTTAATATTAGGAAGAAAAAAAAGATACCTAACAACTGATAGTGGCTCCATCTTATGTTGAAAGTATCACTGCTTCCGTCTTGGCTTGTTAGATTGTTATCGCCCTCTGTTGAGAATTACCGTATATATTATATATTAAATAATTATTTCAAAAATATTTTGATTGATTATGTCTAAAGTCGTACGAAGAGGGTTATTCATACTATAATAATTACGAATGTTAAGTGTGTCAGCTGCACCTGAACAGCTGACCACGGTATTTGTAAGCAGAATCGCCCGAGGAAAGAGCAGCTGTAAAGCAATGTGTAGTAAATTTACTAAAGAGAGCAGCTGTTTGTGAAGAGTTGAGAAGAAAAATAAAATAAACTACATTTTATGTACAGAAATCCTAAATTGCAAAGGAATCTCTGTTATTTTGTCAGGAAGAAAATTTCTGATTGGAGATATTCGGAGTGTTACATGCCACATTGTAACCTTGATCCATGAAAGAATAGAATCACCGAGTCAAATGATGCAGTGAGATTCCTAGAATTTCAATAAAAGAAATTGCCCCGCCATGCTGAATAAATTCGGCATGGATAGAAATGGATAGGAAATGGTTTCTTCGTGAAAAAATATAACGGTCCCGTGGTCAGAAAGAAAGCAATTTTCAAATATATCTTCAGTAAAGTAGAAAATTCTGTAATGGCCTTTTAAAAACATTATTATTATTATTATTATCATTATTCTTGGAAAAATTACAATAAATCTAAAACAAAATTGCTTATTTATGTAATGTATTTTATAATTGTATTACACATAGTTAATTTAAATGTAACGAATGAAATAATAATAATAATATTATTATTATTGTTGATAATACATACATTTTTCTTTTAGCTATAAAAATTTAAATTAATTGAAAATAAAAATATTTATTTTTAGACAAAGAAAATCCTGTAACCGACCAAACCAACTCCAGATGGCGTAACGTTCCAGTCCAAACGAAACAAGACCACGGGTTACCATGGAAACCGCATTACTGCGTCTTACTTCAAGACGATTGTACTTTCACCCATTATCCAACCGAAGAAATGAGTGTAGGTTATTTTACAGAAAATTTCACTACAGATTATGTATATTTACCTATGAATATATTCAAGGACGAAGATTGATTTCATATAATAGCAATAGATTGAAGAAAGAGAACCAAAAAAAATATATATGTATTCATTTTAGGACGTGAAATGCAAAATCAATCACCGGATGTCCTTGCAAAATATTCATAAATTTTTTTCCTTTAAAGAATTTGACAAATAAAATAGTACAAATGAAAGGAAATACTTTACCAGTTCCAAAGAAGTAGAACACAATACAAAAAATTGTAAATCTTTCATAAAAATTTATCTTAAATTCTATCATTATAAGCCTAATTTTCATGTGATGATATTTTAAAATAACTTATTTAATTTAACCATTTTACAAGAAGTAGATTAATAAATTAATGCAGATATTTGCAGATGGTCCAAAAGTCAGTTGACCATTGAAAGACTAAATTACTGTTTTATTCAAGTACTGCACTTACTGAATTCCAAATAATTGTTTTCCAATTTTAGATACACAGAATATAGCATAAAAATATTTTTTTCATTTATTTATTTACAAATTTCTCATGAAGATTAAGATAAACAAAATCAACAAATTCTTGTTACTTTATTTTTTTTACAAGAATAAGTGTAATGAAATAATGCAATATAAAATAGTTTCGAGTTTTGGATAAACTGTTACTAGTTAAAAGAAAGTGCATTTTTCCTTATTCATCAATAATTTACAAATTATTTATGAAAATTTCTCTTATAAGAATAAATTTTATCATCATATGTGATAATACTTTGATTCATTAAATTTCAATAAATTTAAAATAATATCATTTATAAAATCATTTTATTTTTATGTTTAATTCTAATTTAATAAATAATCATAAAGTTTAAAAATAAAGGTGTGATTTTTAAATTATTATTATGTTTGCAAGAATCTTATTGATAAATTTATAATAAAAAGCAATTTTTTAGTTTGATGTAATCAGTAAAGGATGGCCCATAAGTCAGTTGATCATTGAAGGACTTAATTACAGTTTTATTCAAGTACTTATTGAATTCCAAGACAGCAATTTATTCTTTACAATGGTTATTTGACTTTGGGTCACGCTGTATATGATATGATTTTATTTAAGACTTTTTTGTTAACCTTTCTCTTACATTTTCCTCAAATACATATCTAATTTTGTATGATATTTTAAAATTTATATTATTATTATAAATATTTTATTTGCATTGAGGCTAAGCTTTGTTACAGGGGGTATATTTTTACAGTAATTTATTGGTATACATTTGTTATCTAACAATCGTTCAATATACATTTTCTTCAAGATCATCAATAACATTACAATAATCATTTAGTAATACATTTTGTCATTAGTTTCTTTTAAACTATTTTAATTTAAGTAACATAATTAGTAAACAATATAAAATTTTTATTATACTGTTTATTCTGGTTTTAATAAACAGGATATAAAAGCTAAAATAAAACTATCATGTATAAAGTACAGTATTAAAAAAATTTATAAATAATGGTTTTATTATTTATAAATGATAGTTTTATTCTAAGTTTTATTATTAATCCTTGATTTAATAATAAAACTGTCATTTATAAAATACAAGAGTGTTATTTATAAATGTATAAATTGTAATATTAAAATTCCAGCTGGCTAGAGTTTACATTTCAGTATTTATCAAATGTATTCTTTTTATGTTATTCTGCTTTTTTCCCTTTCTTTGAATGTTCACCTATCATAATCTCTTCCTTTTTATATCTTCACATTTCATTCTTATTCGTGTAGATTTTTTACCTCATTTCCAGATCCATATACATATATATATTTTATCTTTGACATTTTTCTTCTATTTCACTCCACATAACACACTTTTTTCCCCTTCTTCTTCTCCTTCTTCAACTTACACATTCAATAAAATGCAACTGTTCATTTTATATTTAAATAAATATATATTACAGATATATTTGTGTATGTAAATTGTAAAATAAATTAAAAACAATGTAGTTTTTCATTTATGAAATTGATGAAAACATGATTTAAAAATATGATTATTTGAGAAAGGTAGCAATTTAGGTTTTAAAGTGGTTAACTGACTTTTGGGCTATCTTGTATATAAAATGAAATATATAAATATATCATTTTACATCTGTACACTTGGAAGGTATAGGAGATGATGATAATGACAGTAATGAGGAGGAGAGATGAGGAAATAGGTGATTTAAACAATCTTATTTTAGTGTTTACTTTCAACAAGCTATAGTTTAAACTCTAAAAAATATAATTTTCATGTTAACTATTAATATTTTTATAAAGAAAATATATATTGATATATTGTTCATTTTATGTAGTATATATTTTAAAAATTGCTTTTTTAAAATATATTACTATACTTTTATCAAAACATAATAATCATTTTACACAATATAAAGTATCAAATTTCATTTTTCTATAACTTTGAGTTTATAACATTTAGTAATTGTTTTCTTTCATATCTAGACTATTTTTGCTGTTAGAAATACTGTAAGATACTTATCTATAAAATACATTAAATATATAGGCTATATATAATAGATTACAGTAGTACATTGTTTTTATTTATGATGTTTTCAAAATTGCCTTGATCTTCCAAAAGCTTTTAAAAATGTTCTTGAAATAAATAGTTACATTAATTTTTTTTTAAATCTTTTATGTNGCCCTCACGATATAATAACTCGAATCCGACTTATACTGTATACTTTAACAGTTGTATATTTTAATTCGTTACACAGTCGCTCCTCATCTTAACTAGTGATGATGATGCTTAAGCATGAAAGGTATCGAAATATAAATAAATAAAATAATATATATGAAATTTATTAATTTTTACGTCTTTAATTTTCATACACAACATATACAAATAGTTACGAACGTTAAGTCATTCGGAGGCGTCGACGAACTCTAGAAAAGAAGCTTTTATCATAAGGAGGAAGGGTTTTATAAATTAATAAAAGTAACGGATTGCTTATTAATCTACATTTATCCTGCTTTGTAATGATAAATTCGTGTTAAACTTTCTACTATTATTTAATTTATTAGTGTTAAAACTAGAATTACCGTGTTGCAATGTAGCGTATACAGTATATTAATTATGTCGCTTAACTAGATGACTCATTTATAGTTAAATGATGTGCAAGACGCTATTTGTACAGACGTCAAATAAACAAATATCATTTTGCGAAATATTTTAAATGCTTTTTATAAGTTATTCTTACCAGATTTTTATGTTCAAAAACTTCTCCAATATATAGTCTATAATAGAAAATGAATAGTTTATATTAAGTATGTTTAAAAAAAAAAGATAGAAAAGACAAAGGTTTGTCTGTGCTCCACACAACTGCATTAAGTACTCATAAGTTTAAATATAGTTAAATAGATGAGCTGAGCTTTATATTTTGAAAAGCTAAGAAGGAAATTTCTGCAGTCATTTTGACATTGTAAATGTTTATTCTGCGATTATATATAATCAGGGGCAAGCATCTAATGCAACTCTCCTTATCTGAGGATGCTTTTTATCTTAACGATTAAATTGATAAGAAATACTTATTCGCATGCGGAACTATGAGCAAATAATTAACGAAGCAAATCTATAAACCCAGTTTTCGCATGAATTAATTAAAAAAAGAGGGAAAAAATACAGAAACAATAGGTAACGAAGGATATAAGTAAGTGGAAAACGGACAGAAGGAATCATTACGGAAGCTATGTAAGAATTTTAATATACGTGCTTAAATTTTTCCTTGTTAATAAAATTATTAACATATTTCGAGTTTAATTAAACGTTCGTAAATTTTAAGCATGTAATTTAATATGGCCAAAATCATAATTTTACAAAAAAAAATTTAAACTTTCAAAAATTTTAATGCGAATTCATTAGTAGTACGACATTAAATTATCGTTTATTGTAATAAGAAACGACAAGTTTAGTTTAAAAAATTTTAGATAGAAGCATGTGAAGTTATAATCAATAACTTTACCAAAAATTCTTGTTTAAATGTTAAAATTTTAAAATATTAGTACAGTATGCTTTATAATGATTTTGCCCTATACAGTACTTATTTTATATCCAAATTTTCTTCTAAATATAAATTTTATCATTTGAAATTTTTTTCTCTCCTTGCTTAAAACTAGTTTTGTATATAAGCTATTTTTAAATTAAAAAGTTAATTGAACTTATACGAAAGTATTTATAAGAGGGAGGAAATATATCACTTAAACATTCTTTACACGAGAATCGATTAATTGATAAGTTGCCTTTTATATATCTTTAATCCGATAGATGGCTGCACTTAATCTTATAAAATTATTTTTCTCCGATTTTATCTTTTTAAAAATTCCATATTTACAAGCACTATAGTTTTATTTTATATTAACTTTTTAAATATGTATTTTTTGCTAAAAAAAACTATTTTATAAAGTGTAATTTTGATTTTCGTCTTCCTCAGAGGCTTGTTTCTTAGCTATTTTACCATTTTTTCTCCTCTATTTTCTAGATTGGAGACAGACTTTTTGTTGATCTACCGAGAATAAGACTAGATGGAGGTAGGCAAGCTTTTAGAAGACGTTGGGGATACGATATATCGGGTCCTCCACCCCTCCCCGAAGAAGATGAGGAAAGCGAGTTGTCAGAAACGACTTCACTTCGAGACGAAAGACTGCTGCGATTTTCTTCGTTCGGTAAGTTGAGGAATTTTAATATTTTATTTAAATATGCTTACGTTATTTGGAGCATTATTATAAATATCGAGCACGAATTCGGGTGTCCTAGACATCGATACAAAGTGCTTAAAATCCGCTCCATCGAGCGCAATTTTTCGGAACGGATGTGCGTGTACCGAAACCAATCCATTCATCCACGACGTGGGAGGTTTTTCCCATCGAAATGACAATTTTAGATAACCTTGGTTTGTTCAAATTCTGAAATTCTTAAATAATGACCCTCACTCGCACAAAAGAGCTTTGGACAATTGGCACTCTCGTCGCTTTTCATATTTAAGTATCGATTATGATTGTATCAATTGCTCAGTTTCTTAATCGATAGGTTAATTCTACAATCGATTTTTCGTTAGCGTAAATGAATGGAAATTTCTTAAGAAACCGAACCCACCCAAGACTATTTTTGGTAAGTGAATATTAACTATACATTTCGTTAATAGATGGCACTACGTGTATATTTTGAAACGAAATATCGATTTTTTTTTTACTTTTTCTTTTTTCTTTTTTAACCTTTTCAGAAGTATCAAAGATACTTTAGAAGATTAAATTAAAAAAAAAAAAGAAAGTTAAAAGTGGGTCAAACAAATAATATTTTCTTTAATTCGTCTCTTTTATTGTTACTTAATGGCTCGAAAATCGAGATAAATGATCCCTTTAATCTGCTGTGAACGGCATTACAAAATGCGCTGATGTCAAAAAAGTTGCCTAAAAGTCTTGAGAAATTCTAAAAATTTAAATAGAGGAGATGCTAAAGCGTCATCTGTTAGCAAGGAAAAAGCATGAATATTTTAAGCATATTTTTAGTATATATATTTTTTCTTGAGCAAAAATATGCACATATATTCACTTAAATGCGAGCGTAAAAACTATATAATTAATTAGAAAGTGTTTAAAGCGATATCTTGAATTTTTCACATTATTTAAAGGTTTAATGTAGCAATAAAAAATGCACTCTCTTAAAAACTTTTTCTTGCAGAAATAACGTTTTAAAACGGACGAATTTTAAAGGAAATTTTCATAATAGAATCGAGGGAATTTTTAGAAATTGTTAATTTTATAAAACAGCTGCACAAACTAGGAAAAGTTAGTTTTATAGTAACGGCCGAGTGTGACGTCAGTGGCTCCCCCACGCGATGGAAATGGTACAAGTATGGCGTAACAGGTATAGGTTTGTGACGGTTAAGTCGCGATCGTCTAACTGTTTTGTTATTTAAGTGTATGGTCATGTCGCTACCGAGGTCCGTTGCCCGAATGTTGTGTACAAGTAGTTGGAGTTCTGAAAATGGTAAGGTCATACGTTTATTCTGAATGGGTGTGGTCGGAATTTGGGACGGTTGGAATACTCCTTTGTATTTTTATGCTTTCTGTAGTTATGGCAATCATTAAATGTTACTTTTTTTGCCCTTTGCCCTCACGATATAATAACTCGAATCCGACTTATACTGTATACTTTAACAGTTGTATATTTTAATTCGTTACACAGTCGCTCCTCATCTTAACTAGTGAAGCTATTATTTGAGATTTATATATATATATATATATATATATACAATCTATGAGGATATTTTGAATGTTTGCTGCTGTTAAAAAATAGCGTTAAATCAAACGCACAAACGCAGGAATAACAAGATTTGTTTTTATGTGAATAAGTTATGTCATTTATTTTTTAATCTCAAAAAGATAAAATTGGATCGAAATATGTGTTAAAATTAAACGATATAATTTTATAAAGAGGAAAACTAGTGCATTGAAGGAACAGGTAAAGTGAGGAGTTGAAAGGTGTTTTGACTCCTCCCTCGAGTCACGTGTTACCACTTGCCATTTCCGTTTCGGCAAGGGAGAAGCAAAGTGCTGTTTCACTTGTTCGACGTTTCTGCATGATGTGCACGTGTAGCGCTGATCAGAAATTGGAGACTTTGTGCGAAAGAAGGAATGGTGGTTACGTTTTAGACGAGCGATTCTGTTCTCAAATACCCAGAGTTAAGCTGAAAAACAAAAGTGCTAAAGTGCATGTAAGTTGTTGTGTTTACTTTAATAGTTTTCGGGGTGTTGCGTTGCATCAAATATGGATTTTGTTTACCTTCGCTCATAGTTTTTGTGTGTCAGTCATGGCAACCGTTTCTTCTCAGCCCTTCTTATTTATATGTATCTTACATTGACGATATCGAATTTCACGTATAATGTAACAGTTTTATACACTAATTATACTATACACCAAGTTCAAAGGTCACGCTTTAATGTAACTTTAACCTTTTACATGCCATCCCACTCACCTATATTAATTAAACGCATAAATTTTAAACTTAATGATAATTAAGCTTAAAATTTATACGTTTCATCATTCAGTTATCGTTAAGAAATTCCGAAGATGTTAAATGTTTTGTAATTTTGTATGACGAACTTTGTCCTCCTCTCACGTCTTTCCTACGAGATTGGTTACATTTTTAACCCGCTAATTTCATTACGTTTTTTCTTTCTTTTTTAAAAATTGTATGGAAATGAAATTGTCGAAGAAGGTTTGAAATCCAAGCATCCGGTTCTTCTACTCTCAACCATGAGAATAATGAGTGTCAAGTCAATGCACTTTGAACAACAAAGAAAATGGAATCTTTGAACAGGACACTTTCGTTGCTATGGTATCTTCATTACGTTTTGATGGAATAAATTGATTTAGGATATTCTTGAACTCGGCAATCTTCTAACTTCCAACTATTGGCGGATTTATTTTATAAGGGTTTTGAACAATTGCAATACATTTAGAGCTAGAAATCAGTTTCTATCTACTAGCCTAATACAGGATTTAATGCTTAAAAACATGGCTAAATAGTCACGTGTAAGAATGCATGTTTTATTATTCAATAAAATTTTAATTTTGATAAATTAGCAGTAAAATGTTTTAAATTTATGGAAAGTTAGAGTTATTTACTGTATTTTTCACTCGCCGTATTATTTCATACGTTTTAAAGTTGTACTTATGTTCACTATAAATTGACACTAAAAATATGTACAAAACTGCGAACGTCGACGGAGATAGTTGCTTAAAACAACTGAAGTGTGAAAAATTATTATTTTGGTTATTGTTAGAATAGGTGTTCAAGCACAGCACGAATGGAATGACCAAACTACGTCATTATTCTCCTCACTGTGAAGTGAGGCATGGGAAAACTCTTTCCTTCTCACGACCGGTGTCACCAACTGTGAATCGTGATGCGATGCAGATAGTGGGGGAGTGGCATTGAACATCAAGCACACAGATCGTTACCCTTTAAAATTTATACGTGGCTTCACACTCTAAACACATGCTTCGACAAATTAAAATAACTTCAACGTGTTTAAGCGACCATTTAAGTATACCAAATCGAATTATCTGATTTTTCTTAATCCTCGTGGAAACAGTACTTTATCAGTCGAACGTAGAGGCCTACAAACCAATAAAAAAGAAGATATCTTTTATGTGCCTTACAAACAAAAGATAAAGATTTTCGTGTTTTATCTGACAAGTTTCAATGTCGAAGGTTTATTTTATATTCTAGAAACAATTACGAGTAGGCAGGCGTTTGGGAAATTATCATGGAAAGAAAATAAAATCTCTTGAAAAACTTGTAGATTAAGTCTATAAAAGTTCAATGTTTCATTTTATTAATTTACTTAACAAACTTTCCTTAACGAAAATGAATGCTTCGAATAACGATCATAAAATAGAACATGGAAATGAGATTCGATATCTGATGATATACACTAGGAAAAAGAAAAAGAGATTGCAATTTATTGTTTTATTATCTCTGTTCAATTTCCTGTTTTCCTGTACGAAATTGCTTTGGTGAGGAATATTGTTCCGTTTTATTGAGTAAATGATGTTCCTTACATAACTTGACATAGATTTTTGACATGTAAATTGGAGTAATTTCATTTTATGAGCTTAAAATTAAGCTTTTAATTTATTTTACCTTTACACTTGATAGATATTTTAAAGAAAAATAACAAGATGAATACATCAGAAGTAGTATTGATTAATGTGTTTACCATTCGGTTTTTTATTAAAACAATAGATTTTGGGGAAAGACATGAAAATTAGTTCAGTTAAAAAAAAACGTGTTTTATTAACACACATCTAATATTTATAGATGAAATTTAAAACAATTTCATTCTATTTAGTAGAGATTTTTATAGTAAAATATCGAGATAAGAACACGAGAAGTATTGTTTAATTACGGTGTGTTTAATACCCTATCTATTATTAAAACAACAGTTTTTTTGTGGAAAAACAATGTAAATTAATTTGATTTAAAAATAAACGCGTGTTTCGCTAACATAAATTTATTGTTTATAGGTGAACAAGATTAAAATAGTTTCATTTTATTGTACTATACTTCACAGTACATTTAATAGAGATAAAAAACATATCTCAAGATAAATAACAGAAAAAATATCGAGGTGTATGTAATCAATTTACTATTAAAAAGTAGGTTTCTTTTCTGCTATAAAAACAATGAAAATTAATTTAATAAAAAACTTGTTTCATTAACGTATGTATGTTCATTGTTTATTGATGAAAAGCGTTTTTAAAAAATTTAAATTTATTGTGTATTTAATAAGGGAATTTTTTAAAGAAAATATTAAGATCAGCAATTCGTCAGGAAGAAGTATTGATTGAGATATTTTTAATACGCAATTCAATTTTAAAAAATCCAAATTTTTCTTACAAAACATTTAAAAACGAATTTAATTTTTTTTAATGAACATGTGTTATACTAATTCTACTGCATATTTAATAATAGATTTTTAGAAAAAATATCAAAATAAACAGCAACAAGGAAGAGGTATTGGTCAAGATGTGTTTAATATCAGATTTACTCTATAAAAAGTAGTTGTTCCCTTCTCAAAAAAAACATGAAAATTAGTTTATTTTTTACAGAACACGTGTTACTTTAATGTACTGTACATTTATTGTTTACGGATGA